TTTTGAAGGTGCGGACCTAAATATTTTCATAAGCGCTTTAGAAATTGCGGAGCTAATTTTTGGATTAGCGCTGCCCACCGCTGGCTAAAAACAGAAAGGACTGGAGTTCTGCTGAGTGATCCAAATTTATGTTCTCTGATGAAAGTAAATTTAGTGTTTTGGTTCTCTTCTAATTCACTTCTAATGAACTCAGTCACTTGTGACAAGATAAACCCAATTCTGCTATTTCTAGTCTTTGAGGTTGACAAGTTGGATGTCTCTTCCCTGCCACACCAAGGCTTTAGGAACTAGGGGGTCTTTTCTAGATGCTTCTCTGCCACTTCTGTCTGGAAACCTGCCATACCTGTCCTGAACTGCCTCATCTAATGTATCYGAGCAGATCCTTTTGTTTTTTCTGAACATTGGAGAGGAAGTGATTTCATAGAGACGTCCTACAAAATGAAAGTGCACTTTAATGCTAATTTTAATGATTGGGATTTATTAATTTACCCAGTAGTCTACATTTGAATAATAGTTTGTCAATTATTTTAAGGGAAAGTTTAACAAGAAGGTATCAATACAAATTTATGTTCAAGACAATTTTGCTGAATCTATGAATAATACCAAAATTAACAGTTTGACAGAGAGAAAATAAGACTTAGCATCAACAATTCCTAAGTCATTTGGACTAAAAAACAAAAGAAAAAGACAAAGAATCAGCCGAACTAGCAATCCTCAACAACTTTTTAAAGAATCAGCCGAACTAGCAATCCTCAACAACTTTTTAAAGAATCAGCCGAACTAGCAATCCTCAACAACTTTTTAATTTTTACACCAGGAGCTAAAGTTCTGTTTCAGGAAATCACATCCCCAGCAATTAGCGCTTGTAGRATTAAGCAGTAAAAGAGTTCATGCACCACTAGTTGGCAGTGTTGTACATATATTGTACATGAATTGTTGTCAGCTAGTAAGTGTCAAACTGTACTTGTGCTTTAAAATTAGCTTCAGCTAGTTTTTCTATGGCATAAGCGCTTTTGAAGTTGCGGACCTAAATATTTTCATAAGCGCTTTAGAAATTGCGGAGCTAATTTTTGGATTAGCGCTGCCCACCACTGGTCGAAAGTGTAGGAAATTAGAGTTATCCCAGCGTTTGTTTATGTTCATCGAAATAGAACTTCTGTGTTTGTTTGTTTTTTTTGWGAACCTTTACAACTCTGCTCATGCTAATATTTATTCTGATTTATTCTGGTGTGTGTAAACTCATTAATTTATTTTGTGCTCATATAAAGATACATTTGGATCATTTAATCTGAAAAGTTTCAGTGCTATCAAATCATTTTGCGTATCCAAGTCATATCTAGTCTGTAAGTTGTGTGATATAAACAACTATACAGCACTTACTGTAAGTGTCAAATAAACACAAACGCACAACAATTAAGTGATGGAATGAGCTGAAACACCTGTTTTTGTAGCAATGCTTCTAATGTTACTTAAGWTAAATACTAAGAGTGAATATTTCAAGTTCTTTTATGATTTTTTTTCAAATAGCAGTAACAAGTGAACTCTACAGAACTAAAC